CTATCAGAAGCGGAATGCCTGTGTTTTACTTATCATCTTATCCATCACCAAGTACAGTACAACTTAGGTATATTTATTATTTTATAAATAAAATAATTATTAAGATATGATTGCAACAAATAAGTATAGTTTTTCAAAATAAAGAAAAATCATAATTCGATTTCGACATTTATATATTATATATTATATATTATATATTATATATTATAAGATATTTATATAAAAATATTTAAGCCTTTAAAAATTGCCGACTTTATATATTTTAAATATTGTTTCAAAATACTTCTGATTATAATTTATATGCATATTGTTTTGGTAATTAAGTGATAAGAATTAAATATTTATTTATATAGATAACATTAAATTTTTTTTAATGCTATGATATTGCAACAATCTTATTGTCATTATTCATATCCACGACATTTATGTGACTGTACTTTCTCAGAAAAGATAGTGCAATTATTCTCGCGTGGCAACATAATCATCATACTGAAGATAAATAAATCATACTTTGTCTCAGTTGACTTTCGTTTTTGTACTTCTACCCAACAGCTAGTTAAAAATAACATTTAGCTTTAACATTTGACGATGTATGTAAAGACGTAAACGAGACAACCGCACAATACGTGCATATAAGTATATGTGTAATCTCTTTCATGTTGCATAATTGCAAGTGCTGAAGTGCTTTTTAGTCGCAATTGCTGCATTCTCCCAATATAGTCGAATAGGTAGGAGAAACTAAATGCATTGCTGATTAAAAAGATATTAACGGCAGTCGGAGGAAAGCCGTTATGAAATTTCACTTTACCATCTGTACCTCTCTATTAAACGTGAGTTGGATTGACGCGAAATAATTCGATTTACATCGTAATAGAATGCTTAATATGATTTTTTTAAATAAATTTATTGTTCCAATGACATGTAAATATTTAAATTTATAACTGCAGATTATGAAAATACTATACGGAAATTTATATATTATTCGCATATACGTACAGAACGCTTTTAT